AATGTATGACAGTAGGTGGGGATATCGGTGCGCGTTTGTGTGTGTGTGTGTGTATGGGTGTGTGTGTGTGTATGGGTGTGTGGGTGTGTGTATGGGTGTGGGTGTGTGTATGGGTGTGTGGGTGTGTGTGTATGGGTGTGTGTGTATGGGTGTGTGTTTACTCATGATTGTTAACACAGCTCACCAGTGGAAACACGTGTACAGTACATGAAGGTGCGGGAGTTATAGTCACATTCACCATAATGATCCACAGGTTGTCAGCCACCCAAACAATGTCAACAATAGCTCCCGTGTGTTGATATAACAAGTACCATCGTTCACATCACTGGACATAACCCCTTGTCTCACACCAACCACAGATACTCACGTTATCCTCTTCCATGTACGCGTAGGAGGTGCATCTAGGCATACAGAACTCTCAAAGCTAAAGACGAAGGATGAGGAGGATGAGGAAGGAGGAGAGAGAAGAAGGAGGGGGAAGAAGGAGGAGGGGGAAGAAGGAGGAGGGGGAAGAAGAAGGAAGGGAAGGAGGAGGAGGGGGAATAACGAGGGAAAGTATTACAAGACAGGTGGTCGAAAGTGACAGGCAATTGCCGAGACAATAAACATTAATTTACTACACTTGTATTTACTTAATAACATACAGTATATCCTACACAGAGCAGATCGCTACACCACGACAATACATACTCCTTCCTGGCCTATTAACCTGAATAAACAGGTCTGGGCTGGGCTTAGCTGAGGCAACTGTGGGAGGTGCCGCGTCGGTCAGGTCCACCAGTGTTGATAGTGAGTGGATGTGACACAGACGCGCCTGTGTACAAATACCAAGGGAGGTCTCACATCCCCCAGGAGCAGTGAGATGTGTACCCACTCCCTCCCTCCCTCACCATACCTCACCCATCCTCCCTCAACACACCTCATCCACCTCCTCACCACATCTCATCCACCCTTCCTCACACCACCACCAACCCACCCTCTCACCACACCTCACCCACCCACCAACCCCCGTCCCGCCCACAGACCCTCACTTATTGACATAGAGTATTATTGTGTTTCCTTTGCCATGGCCGACGCATCTGCTGGGACGCCCATCAGAACAAGAACCAGATGGTGTTAACTTACAACTAAACCCAGTAATTCGAGTGTACTGTAGGTTAGGGTCGAAGACGAGAGAAGGGGAGGAGAGAGGGGGGGAAGGGAGAGAGAGAGAGGGGAAAGGAATGAGAGAGAGAGGGAGAGAGGGTAAGGAATGGAAGGAGAGGAGACTATTGACTCAAGTTTGAAAAATATTGATCGAGTTCCTCAAATCTATTTTATTTCGTGAGCGTTGTTCTCCCTGGCTGGTGACTTAATCTTTTGTGGTGTGTTAAGTGTGTATGTCTTGTGGCGTCGGTCTCATTTATCGATCCTTAATCCCCCCCCCCACACACACACACCTCCCCCCCACACACACACTCCCCCCCACACACACACTCTTCCCCCCACACAAACACTCTCCCCCCAAACACACACACTCCTCCCCCACACACACACACTTTCCCTCCCACACACACACACACACCTCCCCCCACACACCTGGCCAACCCTTTTCCCACCACACACAGTAAGAAGATTACAACCAACCACAGTACAGAAGACTACACCCACAGTACAGAAGACTACACCCACAGTACAGAAGACTACACCCACAGTACAGAAGACTACTACACCCACAGTACAGAGCACACCCACACAGTACAGAAGACTACACCCACAGTCCAGAAGACTACACCCACAGTACAGAAGACTACACCCACAGTACAGAAGAAGACTACACCCACAGTACACAGAAGACTACACCCACCACACACAGAAGACTACACCCACCACACACACACAGCAAAGACTACACACCCACAGCAGAAGACTACACCCACCACACACAGTACAGAAGACTACACCCACCACACACAGTACAGAAGACTACACCCACCACACACACACAGTACAGAAGACTACACCCACAGTACAGAAGACTACACCCACCACACACAGTACAGAAGACTACAATCACCACACACAGCAAGGCACAGAAGACTACACCCAACCACACACACAGTACAGAAGACTACACCCACCACACACAGTACAGAAGACTACACCCACCACACACACAGTACAGAAGACTACACCCACCACATACAGTGCAGTACAGAACACTACACCCACCACACACAGTACAGAACACTACACCCACCACACACACAGTACAGAAGACTACACCCACCACACACAGTACAGAAGACCAAACCGCCATACAGAAGACCCACACAGTAAGTACAGAAGACTACACCCCACCACACACACAGCACAGAAGACTAAACCCCACCACACACAGTACAAGACTACACCTACAGCACAGAAGACTACACCCACTACACACAGTACAGAAGACTACACCCACCACACACAGTACAGAAGACTACACCCACCACACACAGTACAGAAGACTACACCCACCACACACAGCACAGAAGACTAAACCCACCACACACAGTACAGAAGACTACACCCACCACACACAGTACAGAAGACTAAACCCACAGTACAGAAGACTACACCCACCACACACAGTACAAATATCAAGCACCCACCACCCACAGTACAGAAGACTACTACACCCACCACACACACAGTACAGAAGACTACACCCACCACACACACAGTACAGAAGACTACACCCACCACACACAGTACAGAAGACTACACCCACCACACAAGTACAGAAGACTACACCCACCACAATAGTAGCACTACACCACCACACACAGTACAGAAGACTACACCCACCACACACAGTACAGAAGACTACACCCACCACACACACACAGTACAGAAGACTACACCCACCACACACAGTACAGAAGAAGACTACACCCACCACACATACAGAAGACTAAAACCCACCACACACAGTACAGAAGACTACACCCACCACACACAGTACAGAAGACGACACACCCACCACCCACAGTACAGAAGACTACACCCACCACACACACAGCAAGTACAGAAGACTAAACCCCACCACAAGAAAAGGAAGACTACACCACCACACACAGTACAGAAGACTACACCCACCACCTACACAGTACAGAAGACTAAACCCACCACACACAGTACAGAAGACTACACCCACCACACAGTACAGAAGACGACACCCACCACACACAGCAGCCATCAAGCACCCACCACACAGTACAGAAGACTACACCCACCACACACAGTACAGAAGACTACACCCACCACACACAGTACAGAAGACTACACCCACAGTACAGAAGATCACACCCACCACCCAGTACAGAAGACTAAACCCACCACACACAGTACAGAAGACTACACCCACCACCCACAGGTACAGAAGACTACACCCACCACACACAGTACAGAAGACGACACACCCACCACCCACAGTACAGAAGACTACACCCACCACACACAGTACAGAAGACTAAAACCCACCACACACAGTACAGAAGACTACACCCACCACACACAGCAGAAGACGACACCCACCACCCACAGTACAGAAGACTACACCCACCACACACACAGTACAGAAGACTACACCCACCACACAGTACAGAAGACTACACCCACCACACACAGTACAGAAGACTACACCCACCACAATACAGTACAGAAGACTACACCCACAGTACACAGAAGACCACACCCACCACACACAGTACAGAAGACTAAACCCACTACACACACACAGTACAGAAGACTAAACCCACAGTACAGAAGACTACACCCACCACACACAGTACAGAAGACTACTACAACTCCACCACACACAGTACAGAAGACTAAACCCACCACACACACAGTACAGAAGACTACACCCACTCACACACAGTACAGAAGACGACACACCCACCACCCACAGTACAGAAGACTACACCCACCACACACAGTACAGAAGACTAAACCCACCACACACACAGTACAGAAGACTACACCCACCACACACAGTACAGAAGACTACACCCACCACCCACAGTACAGAAGACTAAACCCACCACACACAAAGTACAGAAGACTACACCCACCACACACACAGTGCACAGAAGACTACACCCACCACACACACACAGTACAGAAGATCACACCCACCACACACAGTACAGAAGACTACACCCACCACACACAGTACAGAAGACTACACCCACCACACACAGTACAGAAGACTACACCCACCACCCACAGTACAGAAGACTGTCCACCACACACAGCACACAGAAGACTGGCTACACCCACCACACACAGTACAGAAGACTACACCCACACACAGTGCACAGAAGATCTCACCCACCACATGCTGCAACACTGTTCCACCACAGCCATGCAAAGACCACAGCACACACACCACAGTACAGAAGACTACACCCACCACACACAGTACACACTACACCCCACAGTACAGAAGACTACACCCACCACACACAGTACAGAAGACTACACCCACCACACACAGTACAGAAGATACACCCACCACACACACAGCAAGTACAGAAGACTACACCCACCACACACAGTACAGAAGACTACCCACACACAGTACAGAAGACTAAACCCACCACCCACAGTACAGAAGCACAAGACTAAACCCACCACCCACAGCACAGAAGACTACACCCACCACAGCAAAGATTGCACCCACCACACACAGTACAGAAGACTACACCACCACACAGTACAGAAGACTACACCCACCACACACAGTACAGAAGACTACACCCACCAATCTACAAGTACAGAAGACTACACCCACCACACACAGTACAGAAGACTGGCACCACAGTACACAGAAGACTACACCCACCACACACAGAAGACTACACCCACCACACACAGTACAGAAGACTACACCCACCACACACAGTACAGAAGACTACACCCACCACACACAGTGTACAGAAGACTAAACCCACACCACCCACAGTACAGAAGACTACACCCACCACACACACAGCAGTACAGAAGACTACACCCACCACACACACAGTACAGAAGACTACACCCACCACACACAGTACAGAAGGACTACACCCACCACACACACAGTACAGAACACTGCACCCACCACACACAGTACAGAAGACTACACCCACCACCCACAGTACAGAAGATCACACCCACCACACACAGTACAGAAGACTACACCCATACAGAAGACTACACCCACCACACACAGTACAGAAGACTACACCCACCACACACAGCAGAAGACACACCCACCACACACAGTACAGAAGACTACACCCACTCACACATACAGTACAGAAGACTGGCACCCACCACCCATGCAGTACAGAAGCACTACACCCACACACAGTACAGAAGACTAAACCCACCACCCACAGCACAGAAGACTACACCACACACACAGTACAGAAGACTACACCCCACCACACACACAGTACAGGAAGACTACACCCACAGTACAGAAGACTACACCCACCACACACAGTACAGAAGACTACACCCACAGTACAGAAGACTACACCCACCACACACAGTACAGAAGACTAAACCCACCACACACAGTACAGAAGACTACACCCACCACACACACACAGTACAGAAGACTAAACCCACAGCAGTACAGAAGACTACACCCACCCACACACAGTACAGAAGACTAAAACCCACCACACACAGTACAAAGACTACACCCACCACACACAGTACAGAAGACTAAACCCACAGTACAGAAGACTACACCCACCACACACAGTACAGAAGACTAAAACCCACAGTGCAGCAGAAGCATCAGCACCCACCACACACAGTACAGAAGACTACACCCACACACATACAGAAGACTCAAACCACAGTGTACAGAAGACGGCACCACCACACACACAGAAGACTACACCCACCACACACAGTACAGAAGACTAAACCACCACACACTACAGAAGACCATGACCCACCACACACACAGTACAGAAGACTACACCAACGCCAATAAGTACAGGTGCAGAAGACTACACCCACCACACACAGTACAGAAGACTACACCCACCACACACCCACAGTACAGAAAGACTACACCCACCACACACAGTACAGAAGACTACACCCACCACACACAGTACAGAAGACTAAACCCACAGTACAGAAGACTACACCCACCACACACAGTACAGTAGAAGACTACACCCACCACACACACAGGCACAGAAGACTACACCCACCACACACAGTACAGAAGACTACACCCACCACACACACACAGTAAGTACAGAAGACTACACCCACAGTACAGAAGACTAGACCTGCACCACACACACAGTACAGAAGACTACACCCACCACACACAGTACAGAAGACTACACCCACCACACACAGTACAGAAGACTGCCCCACCACACACAGTATGAAAGACAAACCCACCACCACAGTACAGAAGACTACACCACCACACACAGTGCAAAGACTACACCCACCACACACAGTACAGAAGACTACACCCACAGTACAGAAGACTACACCCACCACACACAGTACAGAAGACTACACCCACCACACACACAGTACAGAAGACTACACCCACCACACCCACAGTACAGAAGACTACACCCACCACACAGCACAGAAGACTACACCCACTACACACACAGTACAGAAGACTAAACCCACAGTACAGAAGACTAAGCACCCACCACACACAGTACAGAAGACTACACCCACCACACACATTAAGTACAGGCAAGACTACACCCACCACACACACACACAGTACAGAAGACTACACCCACAGTACACAAGACTACACCCACACAGTACAGAAGACTACACCCACCACACACAGTACAGAAGACTACACCCACCACACACACACACAGTACAGAAGACTACACCCACCACACAGTACAGAAGACTACACCCACCACACAGTACAAAGACTAAACCCACCACACCCACAGTACAGAAGACTACACCCACCACACACACAGTACAGCAGAAGACTACACCCACCACACAGTATACAGAAGACTACACCTACAGTACAGAAGACTACACCCACCACACATACAAAGACTACACCCACAGTACAGAAGATCACACCCACCACACACACAGGTACAGAAGCACTACACCCACCACACACAGTACACAGAAGACTAAACCCACAGTACAGAAGACTACACCCACCACACACAGCACAGAAGACTAAACCCACAGAAGACTAAACCCACCACACAGTACAGAAGACTACAACCCCACCACACACAGTACAGAAGACTACACCCACCACACACAGTACACAGAAGACTACACCCACCACACACATGCACAGAAGACTAAACCCACCACACACAGTACAGAAGACTTCTACAACCCACCACACAGTACAGAAGACTACACCCACCACACACAGTACAGAAGAAGACTACACCCACCACACACACTGTACAGAAGACTACACCCACCACACACAGTACAGAAGACTACACCCACCACACACACAGTACAGAAGATCACACCCACCACACACAGTACAGAAGACTACACCCACCACACACAGCCAGAAGACTACACCCACCACACACAGTACAGAAGACTACATGACCCACCACACACAGTACAGAAGACTAAAACCCACAGTACAGAAGACTACAACCCACCACACACACAGTACAGAAGACTAAACCCACAGTACAGAAGATCAAACCCACCACACAGTACAGAAGCAAGACTACACCCACCACACACAGTACAGAAGACTACACCCACCACACACACAGTACAAAGTATCACACACACAGTACAGAAGACTAAACCCACCACACACAGTACACAGAAGACTACACCCACCACACACAGTACAGAAGACTACCCAATTCACACACAGTACAGAAGACTACACCCACCACACACAGTACAGAAGACTACACCCACAGTAAGTACACACATCTACACCCCACCACACACACAGTACAGAAGACTACACACCCACCACACACAGCACAGAAGACTACAATCTGTTCACCACACACAGTACAGAAGACTACACCCACCACACACAGTACAGAAAGACTACACCCACAGTACAGAAGACTACACCCACCACACACACAGTACAGAAGACCCACCCACCACACACAGCACAGAAGACTACACCTGCCACACACAGGCCAGAAGACTACACCCACAGTACAGAAGGACACACCCACCACACACAGTACAGAAGACTCCACCCACCACAATACAATAGAAGACTACACCCACCACAGACAGTACAGAAGACTACACCCACAGTACAGAAGACTCACACCCACCACACACAGTACAGAAGACTCCACCCACCACACACACAGCACAGAAGACTACACCCACCACACACACAGTACAGAAGGACCACACCACCCACACACAGTACAGAAGACTACACCCACCACACACAGTACAGAAGACTACACCCACCACACACAGTACAGAAGACTACACCCACCACACACACAAGTGCAGAAGAACAACCCACAAAGAAGACTACACCCACCACACACAGTACAGAAGACTACACCCACAGTACAGAAGACTACACCCACAGTACAGAAGCAAGACTGCCCACCACACACAGTACAGAAGACTACAATCACCACACATGCATGTACATCAAACCACAGTACAGAAGCATCACACCCCACCACAGCACATCACACCCACAGCAAAGACCCACCCACCACACACAGGCACAGAAGACTAAACCCACAGTACAGAAGATCATTACACCCACCACACACAGTACAGAAGACTACACCCACAGTACAGTAGAAGACTCCACCCACCACACACAGTACAGAAGACTAAACCCACAGTACAGAAGGCAAGACTACACCCACCACAGAAGACTACACCTACAGTACAGAAGACTCCACCCACCACACACACAGTACAGAAGACTAAATACACCCACCACACACAGTACAGATGACTACACCCACCACACACAGTACACAGAAGACTACACCCACCACACACAGTACAGAAGACTACACCCACAGTACAGAAGACTACACCCACCACACACAGTACAGAAGACTGTTCCACCACACACACAGTACAGAAGACTAAACCCACAGTACAGAAGACTGCACCCACCACACACAGTACAGAAGACTACACCCACAGTACAAAGACTTACACCACCACACAGTACAGAAGACTACACCCACCACACACAGTACAGAAGACTACACCCACCACACACAGTACAGAAGACTACACCCACCACACACAGTACAGAAGACTACACCCCACCACACACACAGTATAGAAGACTAAACCCACAGTACAGAAGACTACACCCACCACACACAGTACAGAAGACTAAACCCACAGTACAAAGACTACACCCACCACACACAGTACAGAAGACTAAACCCTACAGTACAGAAGACTACACCCACCACACACAGGCCAGGAAGATCACACCACACAGTACAGAAGACTACACCCACCACACACAGTACAAGACTAAACCACAGTACAGAAGACTACACCCACCACACACAGCAAGGCACAGAAGTATCACACCCACAGTACACAGAAGACCCACACAGTACACAGAAGACTACACCCACCACACACAGTACAGAAGACTCCACCCACCACACACAGTACAGAAGACTACACCCAACTACACACAGTACAGAAGACTACACCCACAGTACAGAAGACTACACCCACCACACACACAGTACAAGACTACACCACAGTACAGAAGACTACATCCACAGTACAGAAGACTACACCCACCACACACAGTACAGAAGACTACACCCACAGTACAGAAGCAAGACTACACCCACAGTACAGAAGACTACACCACCACACACACAGTACAGAAGACTACAACCCAGTACAGAAGACTACACCCCACCACACACACAGTACAGAAGACTACACCCACAGTGCACAGAAGACTACAATCACAGTACAAAGACTACACCCACCACACACAGTACAGAAGACTACATGACCCACTACACACTGTGTACAGAAGACTACACCCACCTCACACACAGTACAGAAGACTACACCCACCAGCACACAGTACAGAAGACTACACCCACCACACACAGCACAGAAGACTAAACCCACCACCCACAGTACAGAAGGCAAGACTACACCCACAGTACAGGCTGTCACACCCACCACCCACAGTACAGAAGACTACACCCACCACACACAGTACAGAAGACTACACCCACCACACATGCACAGAAGACTACACCCACCACACACAGTACAGAAGACTACACCCACCACACACAGCACAGAAGACTACACCCACAGTACAGAAGACTACACCCACCACACACACAGTACAGAAGACTACACCCACACACAGTACAGAAGACTACACCCACAGTACAGAAGACTACACCCACCACCCACAGTGCACAGAGAAGACTACACCCATACAGCACAGAAGACTACACCCACCACACACAGTACAGAAGACTACACCCACAGTACAGAAGACTACACCCACAGTACAAAGACCACACCCACCACACACAGTACAGAAGACTAAACCCACCCACCCACAGTACAGAAGACTACACCCACCCACACACAGTACAAGACTACACCCACCACCCACAGTACACAGAAGACTACACCCACCACCCACAGTACAGAAGACTACACCCACCACACACAGTACAGAAGACTACACCCACCACACACAGTACAGAAGACTACATGTTCACAGTACAGAAGACTACCTGCACCACACACACAGAAGACTACACCCACAGTACAGAAGACTACACCCACCACACACAGTACAGAAGACTACACCCACCACCCACAGGTACAGAAGACTACACCCACCACCCACACAGTACAGCCAAAATTCTGCACCCCACCACACACACAGTACACACCCACCACCACACACTACACCCACAGGTACAGAAGACTACACCCACCACCCACAGCATCACACCCCACCACACACACAGTACAGAAGACTACACCCACCACACACAGTACATCACACCCACAGTACAGAAGACTACACCCACAAGTACACATCACACCCAACACACACACACACAGAAGACTGCACCCACCACAGAAGACCACACCCACAGTACAGAAGATCACACCCACCACACACAGTACAGAAGACTACGTGCACAGAAGAAGACTACAATCTACAGTACAGAAGACTAAGCACCCACCACACACAGTACAGAAGACTACACCCACCACACACACAGTACAGAAGACTACACCCACCACCTACAGTACAGAAGGCAAGATCACATACCCCACCACACACAGTACAGAAGACTACACCCACCACACACACACAGTACACAGAAGTATCTGCACCCACCACACAGTGTACAGAAGACTACACCCACAGCACAGAAGACTACACCCACCACACACAGTACAGAAGACTACACCCACCCACAGTACAGAAGACTGTTCCACCCACCCAGTACAGAAGACTACACCCACCACACACAGTACAGAAGACTACACCCACCACACACAGAACAGAAGACTACACCCACAGTACAGAAGACTACACCCACCACACACAGTACAGAAGATCACACCCACCACACAGTACAGAAGACTACACCCACCACATACAGAAGACTACACCCACAGTACAGAAGACTACACCCACAGTACAGAAGACTACACCCACCACACACACACAGAAGACTACACCCACCACCCACAGTACAGAAGACTAAACCCACCACCCACAGTGCACAGAAGACTCACACCCACCACACACAGTACAGCACCCACACCACAGCAAAGACTCACACCCACCACCCACACAGTGCACAGAAGAAGACTTTCTGCACCACCACACACACAGTACAGAAGACTACACCCACAGTACAGAAGACTACACCCACCACACACACAGTACAGAAGACCACCCACAGTACAGAAGACTAAACCCACCACCAGCCACAAGACACACCCACCATACAGTACAGAAGACTACACCCACCACACACAGTACAGAAGACTACACCCACCACACACACAGTACAGAAGACTAAACCTGATATGAAGACTACACCCACCACACACACTGTACACAGAAGACTACACCCACACAGTACAGAAGACTACACCCACAGTACAGAAGGCTACATCCAGCTGTGCACAGAAGACTACACCCACAGTACAAAGACTACACCCACAGTACAGGAAGACTACACCCACACACAGAAGACTGCAACCACCACACACAGTACACAGAAGAAGATTGCACCCACAGTATGGTGAAGACTAGCAACCAGCAGCTATCTACAATCACAGTACAGAAGACTACACCCATGGTACAGAAGACTACACCCACCACACACAGTACAGAAGACTAAACCCTGCCAAGTACAGAAGACTACACCCACCACAATACTGCAGTACAGAAGACTAAACCCACAGTACAGAAGACTACACCCACCACACACAGTACAGAAGACTACACCCACAGTACAGAAGACTACACCCACAGTTCAGAACGGTCGCTTCCTCATCTCATTTTGATTGCCCCAAATTTCATTCACAAAAATTTTATAAAAATTTCTACTCTGTCGACGGTATTTTTTAATTTAAAATCCACACAGGCGACTGATATGGTTACAGTGGTGTCTGAGAAAAATTCCGGGGGAAGAGTGAGGCGTAAGCTCGAAGACCAGGAAGACGGGGTGAAGCTCGGAGACCTGGAAGACGGGGTGAAGCTTCAGCACGGTGGGAAGAGAAGAGCACTGAGACTTACGCTCAGTGAGCGGAGTCCAACTCTGAGGGAGTCTGAGGCTTCGGCTCCCTCTTCCGTGTCGGTGACTCCGGCTCCCTCCTACTATACGCAGCCCCAATTGTTGAAATGGAATTATACTTTCTTGTTTATAGTCATCTTCGCCTTTCTTATAGTGTTTGGTAATTGGGGATATTATGAGCCAGGGCTCTTCGTATGGGCCCTGTTCATCTTGCTCTGCACGCTCGGGTTCACCAGCGGTGTACTTCAACGATTGGCTGGGCTCGATGAGACGACGAGGCAGACACCGGCCGACTTCACATTCTTACCGCTAACGTGTTTGAGCCTTGGCTGCCTCTACACGGCGTGGAAGCGTTTTAAGATGAAACCGTTACCGTTAATTGGTGTGGCCGCGTTTCTAATTTGTCTTTCCTTGAAACCGTTTATGGTTGCCCTGCCTGAAGTGGTACCTCTCGTAAGGCGAAAACGCAAACCTCGCAAGAAGGGAAAAGGCAAACCTCCGTCAGAAGGCAAACCTTCTTCAGAAGAGAAACCTTCAGAAGGCAAGCCTCCTGCAAAAGGGAAGCCTCCAGAAGGCAAGCCTCCTGCAAAAGGGAAGCCTCCTGCAAAAGGGAAGCCTCCTGCAAAAGGGAAGCCTCCTCCAAAAGGCAAGCCCCCTACAAAAGGGAAGCCTAAAAAAGCCAAGCCTCCTGCAAAAGCCAAGCCTAAAAAAGCCAAGCCTCCTGCAAAAGCCAAGCCTAAAAAAGACAAGCCTCCTGCAAAAGCCAAACCTAAAAAAGACAAGCCTAAAAAAGACAAGCCTAAAAAAGACAAGCCGAAAAAAGACAAGCCGAAAAAAGACAAGCCGAAAAAAGACAAGCCTAAAAAAGACAAGCCGAAAAAAGACAAGCCGAAAAAAGACAAGCCTAAAAAAGACAGGCCTAAGAAAGACAAGCCGAAAAGAGACAAGCCGAAAAGAGACAAGCCTAAAAAAGGCACACCTAAATCCAAAGACAGAGAAAAAGATAGCAAGGACAAAGAAAAAGATAGCAAGGACAAAGAAAAAGATAGCAAGGACAGAGAAGATAGCAAGGGCAAAGAAAAAGATAGCAAGGAGAGAGAAGAAGATAGCAAGGACAGAGAAGATAGCAAGGACAAAGAAAAAGATAGCAAGGAGAGAGAAGAAGATAGCAAGGACAGAGAAGAAGATAGCAAGGAGAGAGAAGAAGATAGCAAGGACAGAGAAGAAGATCGCAAGGACAGAGAAGAAGATAGCAAGGACAGAGAAGAAGATAGCAAGGAGAGAGAAGAAGATGAAAGTGTCGAGAAAGACGAAGGTGATGAAAGTGTAGACAAAGACGAAAAAGATGTCGGCGAAGATGAAGAGGATGTCAGCGAAGGCGAAGAAGATGTCGGTGAAGATGAAGAAGATGTCAGCGAAGGCGAAGAAGATGTCGGCGAAGGCGAAGATGTCGGCGAAGATGAAGAAGATGTCGGCGAAGATGAAGAAGATGTCGGCGAAGACGAAGAAGATGTCGGCGAAGATGAAGAAGATGTCGGCGAAGATGAAGAAGATGTCGGCGAAGATGAAGAAGATGTCGGCGAAGATGAAGAAGATGTCGGCGAAGATGAAGAAGATGTCGGCGAAGATGAAGATGTCGGCGAAGATGACTACAGCGAAGATGATTACGGCGAGGATGACTTCGACGAAGGCGGCTACGAAGAAGACGAAGACGACTACGGTGAAGATGACTTCGACGAAGGCGGCTACGAAGAAGACGAAGACGACTACGGTGAAGATGACTTCGACGAAGGCGACTACGAAGACGAAGACGACTACGGTGAAGATGACTTCGACGAAGGCGACTACGGCGAAGATGACTTCGACGAAGGCGAAGATGACTTCGACGAAGGCGAAGATGACTTCGACGAAGACGACTACGGTGAAGATGACTTCGACGAAGGCGAAGATGACTTCGACGAAGGCGAAGATGACTTCGACGAAGACGACTACGGTGAAGACGACTTGGACGAAGGCGAAGATGACTTCGACGAAGGCGAAGATGACCCCTGGACGAAGACGATCGATGGTGAAGATGACTCTGGGACGAAGGCGAAGATGACTTCTGGACGAAGGCGAAGATGACTTCGACGAAGACGACTACGGTGAAGATGACTTCGACGAAGGCGAAGATGACTTCGACGAAGGCGAAGATGACTTCGACGAAGACGACTACGGTGAAGACGACTTGGACGAAGGCGACTACGGTGAAGATGACTTCGACGAAGGCGAAGATGACTTCGACGAAGGCGAAGATGACTTCGACGAAGACGACTACGATGAAGACGAAGACGACTACGACGAAGACGCCGACGACTATGACGAAGTCGAAGACGACGACGAAGACGACTACGACGAAGACGACTACGACGAAGACGAAGAAGACGACTACGACGAAGACGATTACGAAGACGACTACGAAGAAGACGACGAAGACGACTACGAAGACGACTATGACGAAGAAGACGACTATGAAGACGATTACGGCGAAGACGACTACGAAGACGACTATGACGAAGAAGACGACTATGAAGACGATTACGGCGAAGACGACTATGAAGACGATTACAGCGAAGACGACTACGACGACAGCAGCGGTAGTAGTAGGTGGTGGAGATGGAGGTGGAGGAGGTGATGGTAGTGGTGAATGTGGTGGAGGTGGGTGGTGGTAGTGGTGGAGATGGAGGTGATGGTAGTGGTGAATGTGGTGGAGGTGGGTGGTGGTAGTGGTGGAGATGGAGGTGATGGTAGTGGTGAATGTGGTGGTTGTGGTTTGAGGTGGTGGCAGTGACGGTAGTGTTGAAGGTACCACATCCTGGTAGTGTGTAAAGGCTCGGGTACGAGATGCAGCGCCGTAGTGAGGGCTCAATATATGGAAGGTGATATTACCCTATTTTCAATAATATACAAACAATAAATGAGGTAAACAGATGAATGTACAGGAGCCTCAAAAGAGTTCCGTTATTGATGACGTTTACAGCTGCGTGTTAACGATGTCTTGTAATAATGGAGGTGATTGGCGGAGGAGATTCCTACACGTAATTTCATAAGAACATAAGAACATAAGAATGGAGGAAACTGCAGCGGGCCTATTGACCCATACTGGGCAGTCCCGTTTACACCCAACCCCTATTGCTCATATGAGCATCCAACCTATGTTTGAAGCAATTCAGCGTATTCGAGTTAATGATGATATTTGGTAACTTGTTCCATTCATCCACTACTCTGTTTCCAAACCAGTGCCATCTATTTCACGCCTAAATCTAAATTTGTCTAATTTAAACCATTGTTACGAGTTCGCTCCTGGTTGGATAATTCTGAGCACTTTGTAATGTCCCCTTGTTTAGCCCTGCTCTCTCCACTTATACACACCCCATCAGGTCGCCCTCGCTCTACGTCTCGGAGGGAGTGCAATTAAGATGCTTTAACCTGTCTCTATACTCAAGGTCTTAATGCCCGGGATTAGTCTTGTCATTCTCCTCTGAATTCTTTCGGGGATTCTATATCCATTCTGCTGTCGCAGTGGCTTAGAGCCCCGAACTTCATCTAATCCAGTGTGGTCTCACAAAAACAAAGATACAGTTTTAGAGATGACCTCCTTTAGTCTTAGCAACTAACACTCCTTTATGTATGAACCCCGTGCTATTAGCCTTGTTCTGAAACAAAAACACATTGTTTGGCTTAAGGTTCCTACTTATCATTACTCCTAAATCTCTCTAGCAGTCGGATTTCTCTATGGCATCGTTGTTCAGCTGGTATCTGGTTTCCCTGTTTACATCTCTCGCGTGCTTTACATATGTACTCGACGTTGAATTTCATCTGCCATTTTTCCAGACCCATTCGAAAAAATTTCTTTGATCTTCCTCATAGTTTGCAAGTCTTCGTCAGATTTAACTCAACACGTCCTATTTTAGTGTCATCCAGCTTCATGATTTACTTGTGTTGCTGTCTATGCCGACTTATGTCGTTTATATATATAATAAATAATAATGGTCCAAGTACTGAGCCTTGGGGAACTCCACTTATGTGTTGCTCCAATGGGACTTGAATGCGGTTATTGCTCACTCGCTGTTTCCTGTCTGTAACCACGCCCTAATCCATTTAAGGATGTCACCTTTGTTCGCAAACTTCTAGCACCTAATTTAGTCTTCGTGGGGGACTCTGTGAAGAAGCTTTACTAGTCAGAGATATACCCTCATAATTGTGCCCTCGTCCACTGATGATTCAGGCAGTGAATAGATTAGTTAGGCAAGAACGTCCGCTTGGCAGAAACCATGCTGAGATCGTGATCAATCGGTGCTTCTCCAGGTGATTTCGAATAGAGTTTGAAATGATTGCTTCCAGTGAATTTGCCTACTATTGATGTTAGACTGATTGGGCGGTAGTTAGAGGAAGTGATCTATCGCTTCTTGAAAATCGGTATTACATTCGCTATCCTCCGGGATTCTGGTACTACACCTGTTTTTAGGACATGTTAAACAACTCTGCTAAGAAACTTTAAGCTCTTCTTACATTTCCTTTAATATAAAGCAGAAATATCTCATATTGGGACAGAATGACTATTTAAACTTTAGTTTGTCTATTTGCTTACTAACATCGTTACTAGTCACTACTATCACATAATTTGTTTCTTCACTATCTGCGAATAAATTCGATTTTTCGGGTATCATGTTTAAATTTTTCGGTGGTGAAAACTGTTGAAAATATTTGATAAATTATTGCTCATTTCTCGTCGTTATCAGTGAGCTACTTGGTCTGACCCGTATTGGTCCAATCTTTTCTCGTGTTTAGTTTGATACATTTGGTAGAATCCTTTGGGGTTTGTCTTAGCCTCCCTTAACTATCCTTACCTCATTATTCCTCTTTGCTTTCCTTATCTCAGTTTTTAACCCTACTACTTAATACCCTATAATAGTCCGGAGGTGAATTTTTACACATATACACGATTTATCCTTCTACCTAAAAGCCTTCCTTTCTTTAAATAATTATTTATCCATTTAGGGTCATTGTTGTCTGATCTGAGTTTTTTGTATGGTATGTTCTGCCTTTGTGCATTAAGTAACTCACTATTTAAATTGTCGTGGAACTCGGCAATCTCAGATCTCGTTATCAGGTAGGTGTCATCTGTCAGGTTCATGGCCAAGCGCAACACCCCCTCTCTCAGCTGCCTCTTTAAACTGTCAAAGTTTGCCCTTCTGAAATCTGGTACTTTAATGGAATTTTCCTTACGTCTGCCCTGAAAATCTAACTGGAATCGAATTTCTTTGTGATCTCTGTTTGCAAGTTCGTTCCCTACCTCGACATTGCTAATGAGGTTTTCTCTGTTCGACAGAACTAAATCCAGTATATTATTACCCCGTGTGGGTTCGGTTATATGTTGACTTAGGAAACAGTCCTGGATCATCTCGAGAAAATCCTCTGATTCTGAGTTACCCGTAAGGTCAGTCCAATCTATTTGGCCAAGGTTAAAGTCGCCTACTATACAGACTTTGTTGTGTATGGAAGCCCTGCGCATTTCATCCCAGATAAGTTGCTCATTGACGCTATCAAGATTGGGAGGTCTATATATTACTCCTGTGATTAATTTTTCCCGACCGTTGCTTAATTCTATCCAAATTGTTTCTGTATTCCTCTCAGTTTTTATTTCTTTATTTATTTCACACTTCAGATTATCCCTAACATAGATTGCTACTCCGCCTCCTTTCCTGGTCTGCCTATCGGTATGGAACAGTTTGTAACCCGCAATTTGGTATTCGAATGGTAATTCACGTGTCTAGGTTGATCCATGTTTCAGTGAATGCAATTATATCGATTTCTTCAGTACATACCAAGGCCTTAATATCATCCATTTTGTTTCTCATACTTCTACTGTTCGCGTAGTATACATTTAAGTTAGTCGTGTTCTGAGTCCTTCCCTTACCGCGTTTAGTTTTAAACTCCCTGTCTAATTTAGTTTTGTCATCATTCCTAACACTATTTCCCTGTAATCTTTCGCCTTGTTTACCCGCTCCCACTGCAGTCTCCTCCACCCCCGTGCCCATATGTTCTCTTAGCAGTTTAAAGACTTCGATATCTTTTGAACTGCCCCCTCTAGAGCCCCAGCCAGGGTTGCTACTCCATCCCTAGACAGGTGCACCCCATCCCTAGCATAAAGGTCCCTTCTGCCATAGAAGTTGTCCCAGTTGTCAATGAATGGGACTGATATTGACTTGCAATATCTGTCAAGACGGTCGTTGACACCAACTGCCCTTGACAACCATTCACTGCCAACTCCCCTTCTAGGCAGGACACCGCATATGATAGGAATCCCTCCCTTAGTCCTAATACGATCTATGGCTGCCTTGAACTTATCAAGAAGTTCCTCGCTCCTACACCGGCCAATATCATTGCCTCCTGCACTGAGGCAGATAATGGGTTTGTTCTCATTACCAGACAAGATGTTGTCCATCCTGTCAATTATATCCCCCACCCCAGCTCCTGGCAAACACACCCTCATCCTATTTTTGTTTTTACCACAAAAGGCCCTGTCCATGTACCTTACCTGTGAGTCACCAACAATTAAAGTTTTTATACCTTCCTTGTCATCCCTGTCCCTGACTGTACTAACGTCCAATTCGTCTATCAAGGGACTGAACGGGTTGGTACACTTAGCTGTTGTTGTCGTTGTTGTCGTATCCTTCGTGTGCTTCTTCACCACCAGCTTTGTCTTCCCACTACTCACAATTTTACACTCGCTTGATTTTTCGTCAGACACTGGCTTTACTCGTCCAGCCTCTCCTTTTAACTTCGCCAGCTCTTTCCTTAATTTCAGGTTCTCCAACGTGGCCCTCTCAATTTCTAACTTGGCCCTCGCCAATTCTTCAGTGGACCACTCCAGTTTGGTCAACAAACTCTCATACCCAAGACCGCACATATCACTGGCCATATCTGATAATTATCCCTCCGGAGCTAACCCTGCCGTGACCTTTCCCCTAGTGAGGTCAGAACACAACTTGGCATTGATGCTTCTAATAAGGAAAATACCAATATGAGTATAAGACTTTAAAAATAAATCGTGTATGAAGAAATATGTGTAATTCATGATTCACACACACACACACAATTCTGCTCCCAACTATACCGCCCTTCAGGATTTAATGAAGTCTCCAAAACTGGGCCACCAACAACCATGTCACCATCAACCATATCAAGACCATGGTTATGCACATCAACCTCTCCTCCGACATTGTCCCACCTCCTTCCATTACTTTAGGTCCGAACACACTCCAGGTTGTAGATTCCACGAAGCTCCTCGGCGTCACCATAGACAACAAACTAAATTGGAAACCACACGTCAGTGAAGCTGTCAAATCCTCCAGTTTCCGTCTCCACCTCCGCCGACTCAAGTCCCTCGGAGTTCCTGCACCCGAGCTCCTCAGTGTTTACACAACATTCATACTTCCCAAGCTCACCTATGCCTCCCCTACCTGGTCTTCCTCCCCAAATGCCACACAACGTAAACACCTAGAAAAGTGCAAAAGAGGGCATGCAAGATTATTCTCTCCCCTTCCTACTCCACATATCAAGAAGCGCCAACACACTGGACCCCTTTCTGACTCACTGACCATCACCACGACCTCATCTGCAACTTGGTAAGAGCTTTACACCATCCCTCGACACCGGCCCTACTACCGCCTGGAGATCCCTAGCCGCCCGGAGAATTGATATTCGACACCACAACCGCATCCAGCCTATACGTGCAATGAACCGATCGCTATAAGAACAGCCCAGTCCCAACCATTGTAAAACGATCAATAACTTGTAATAAAACCAGTGTATTCACTCCCAGTAAACACTACTTCTTTCACTGTCACTATGTTGAAATGCACTGTAGTTTGAGCTTTTCCCCATCTAGTTATTATATATCTTATTTGTATCACTTATGTTACTTGTATATTATTTGTAATTCGTAACCCATTCCCCAAATATGTAACTGTATATTTTCAGCCTTCTGGCTGCCAAGCTCTTTCAATAAACCGTTAATTATTATTATTATTTATTATTATTACACACACAGCCGAGCAAACAGCTGCTGTAAAACATAAGGACGCTTGCTCATGAGTGTTTTAGAGAGTAGAGGCAGACTTTCCCCAGACATTCACTTACCATTCACCAACAGAGTAGAGAGGGGGGGCAGCAGAAGGGATGTCCACACCAGGTGTGGTCTCTTAGGTTTCCACAATGCGCGCGCGCACACACGCACACGTGTGTAGTGTGTAGAAAGATAAAAAGAAAGACAGAAAGTGAAAGAGAGAAAAAGAAAGAAACATTGCTTAGCAATTACCAAAACATAAGTAAAAGGAAGAGTGAAAAACAGGGGGAGGGGTGAGGGAGGAGAGGGGTAAAGGAGGAGAGAGGTACGGGAGGGAGAGGGAGGGAGGAGAGAGGGGAGAGAGGGGTGAGGGAGAGAGGGAGGGGAGGAGAGGGGAGGAGAGAGGTGATGGGAGGAGAGGTGAGGGAGGAGAGGGAGGGGGAGAGGGGAGAGGGAGGAGAGGAGGTGAGGGGAGGAGAGGAGGTAAGGGAGGAGAGAGGAGAGGGAGAGGTGGGAGGAGAGAGGAGAGGGGAGAGGGAGAGGGAGGAGGAGAGGTGAGGGAGGAGAGAGGGAGGAGGAGAGGAGGAGGGGAGGAGAGGAGAGGGGTGAGGGAGGAGAGGAGGTGGGGAGGAGAGGGGGAGGGAGGGAGAGAGGGAGGAGAGAGGTGAGGGAGGGAGAGGGGTGAGGAGGAGAGAGGTGAGGGAGGAAAGAGGGAGGGAAGAGAGAGGTGGAGGGAGGAGAGAGAGGGAGGTGAGGGTGGGGAGAGGGAGGGAGGAGAGGTGAGGGAGGGAGAGGAGGAGGGGAGAGAGGTGAAGGAGGAGAGAGGAGGAGGAGAGAGGTGAGGGAGGAGAGGGGTGCGAGAGGAGAGAGGTAAGGAGGAGAGAGGGAGGGAGAGAGAGGTGAGAGAGGAGAGAGGTGAGGGAGGAGAGGTGAGGGGAGGAGAGAGGTTAGGGAGGAGAGAGGTGGAGAGAGGGGAAGGAGAGCGGTAAGGGAGGAAAGAGGTAAGGGAGGAAGGGTAAGGGAGGGGAGAGGTAAGGAGGAGAGAGGTGAGGGAGAGAGGTAGGAGGAGAGAGGTGGAGGAGGAGGAGAGAGGTGAGGGGAGGAGAGGTG